GTATGCTGTTGGGATGTGTAAAATTGAGTCTTTCTACTTTCGCATATAGTCCCTTTTTCGTTATGCCTACTAGGAATTCAGAAATCAGTGAGAGTTGTCGATGAACTCACACCGCTGTGCAACATCTTTTTTGAGTAGCTGTTTATTGTTTGCAGTTTCAATCACTATGAAACTTCCGAGGTATCGAATGAGAATATGTAGATTTATTAACGACAACGTTTTAATTCATTTCGAGGTTGGTGCGTTAATGGCTTAGATATGCTTCGGCTGTCTCGTCTGCCTTATCCAGAGCCACACAGTAAGCAGGTCTACTCATTGTGATAGTAGAAATGGAAAAAACGATGCTACAGTGAAATAACGTGAAAGGGGGTGTTCACATCTTTGCCATTCTGTTCTATATAGGATAGAGATGCTTTTCAGACAACGCATCATATATTCGAGTGATTTATACAACCTGGTTGCAAACATTCAATATAGTTGGAGAGAATGTTTATAAATATCATACTATTCGTTTCAAGTGTTTCTTGCGACGACGCTCAAATGTCACTATTTCTGACGATTATTTTTAAGCCATGCATGTAGTCTGTTATGGGCACTTAAACAGTGAAATACACGTGTTTCAAGAATGATATGATATTTCAGGGTTACCAGCCAAGAACAATCAAGTGAACAATACTGCCCATTTAGTAATTTTTTTCAGTTGATGGCGTGTACAACATAAGGCTTTGATTTCTCTCAGCAGAGGATATCGCTCGTGGAACTGACTGAATCGTAAGGCACCGTGCAACTGACGAGGCTGGAAGACCGAAACACATCTTTTGCACCGTATATGTGTCCATGACAGACCGCATGCACGGCTCAAAAATAATCAACAGACTTGTTGATGAATACATGATATAATTAGGCGAATGTAAAGGGCATTGTGAATAATAACTATATACATTGACTGAAATACAATGGCGAAAACGTATAAACTACAATTCCACGTTGTGTTATTATTACAATGTTTTCCCAGTCCTACCAACAATAGCAAGAACTGCCGAGCGTGTGACTCTGATGAGATGACAAGACCACCAAAACGAATAGAATATAGGGAGTGTTGTGATCTAGACTGTGGGATATATGTCTAGGAGATAAATATGCACAATATAAGTTAAGGGAAAATGAACCAAAATGGAATGAAAAGGAATACACAACGATTTCAACATGCAGTCTTTGGTGTGGTAATGACGATGACGATCTATTGATTTATGATTCAGCAAAAATTTTGATTTGTAAACATGCGCAAAAACATTTGTTTTCAGAAACAATGGATGACACGATAAAAATTAATGAATTTTTAGTAGCGAGATCCCCAAGTTGATTCGGGTGAACACAGAATAGGAAGTGATGATGCTCGACAGCCAATCCTCCTGTCTTATTATCTCAATAAATAGCGGCAAACACGAACATGTTAAATTTTACTGGCTACGAAAATCGTAAACGGAACGATAAGAGACAAAATTTTCGGAATAACCACCCATCAGAAATGAGTAGAAGTAGAAATCCAATAACATGGTCCACTGGTCCCGATCAAATTCTTACAGCAGTACCAAACATCCAATTGGTGCAAGTTCAACCACGAGAGTATTGAGATACGGACAAAATTCGAAGCCTGATGTAGATTCAAACTTTCGATTACACTTTCGAGGGTTCACTATTTTTCACCACACTATTGAGGTACTCAGCTTCGTTTCATTTCAGCCATCTCTTGATCATTCGGTTGTTGCCAACAATCATCCATTGGCGCGATTAATTTAGGAAGCACAACGGCATAAATTTCATTAAAGCTGAAGCTTTGGTTGATAATCACAATTCATAAGATATTTAGTGCGGATTTGTGTACTCTAGATAAACCCACTGTTTAGTAATTACTGGCAGCCTCAATACTGAGAGTCTATAATGAAAGGAAAAGCTTTCCTATTTGTCAACTTTAAATACAATTCCTCTCATACGCGAAAAGGATTATGAAGTATAGAACAATTATTGACCGTTGTCATAGGATTACTGTAGTTTATGTTTTTCACTTAACATTGTGTGCACATATAGAAAACAGTACTATTTGATATGCCGCCGTTAATACAAAGCTGGTCCAGAGGACTAATATTTGTTATCTGCAAAATTGAACCTAGCATACTAACAAAAAATTTATTGGGTTCTGAAAGGAACATGAACATATTATTATAGGTCATGAATCTTCTTTGTTCAGTAGTCATAGCATTTTCAGTAGAAGAATATTCCTTCAGCGAAATCACAAACTGAAAATCGCTCTGGTCATCAATTTCACTGTCGTTGCAGTCGGACCTTCTTCGGAAAACAGCGTTTGAGTAGGAGCCTCACACGGCACTGCACCTTATATACCTGACGATTGTCGATGATAATGATTGTCCGCCAATACTGCTTTGTTTTTCAGCGGGTAATCTATCCTGGAATCAACGTGGAATCGCACGAGCTACAGGCAATCGAAGCCTTACGTCCGAACTTGCGAAACACTGCAGAGAAGCGATAAGAGAAGACTTCAAAGAGGCGAGCAGTAGTTATGACAGAAGCTGCAGAAGCTGGGAAGGCATTCACAAAGCCCAGCGAGGCTTCGCTAACTATAAGACCAAGATGATTGCACTCCGATACCCTGACGGGACACTTACAGCTTCCAGAAGGGCTGTGGAGAAAATCATCCACCAGCACTACTCGGATCTCTTCGCTAGCCATGTTCTCTTACCGTCATATAAATTGAAAGAGGACGAATATGTCGTTCCACCGGTCCTTCCTTCCGAAATCCGACATGCTATATCGTCAGTGAAAAACAGAACAACACCCGGTCCAGACAGGATTAGACCAGAACACCTGAAGAACCTGCCGCCAGTTCTCATCAACACCCTGGCTCGGCTCTTCACTCGCTACCTGTCAGAATGCAAGGTCCCTATTCAGTGGAAAACCAGCAAGACCGTATTGTTGTTCAAAAAGGGAGACCTTCACGACATAGGCAATTATCGCCCAATCTGCTTGCTGTCCGTTGTCTATAAACTCTTTACTCGAGTCATCCTGAACAGGATTGACAGAACACTGGACGAAGGACAGCCATGCGAACAAGCAGGGTTCAGAAAAGGATTTAGTACCATGGACCACATCCACACGATCACAAGACTCATTGAAGTTTCGCGAGAGTACAAACAACCACTCTGTCTCACTTTTATCGATCTGAAGAAAGCCATCGATTCAGTGGAAACAGAAGCGGTTATAGAGGCTCTGGATAACCAGGGCGTCCCTACTCGGTGCATAATGATCCTTCGTGAGCTTTATAAAAATTTCACATCTAATATTCACGTATCTCCAATCTACAGCAATATCACCATTGACGTAAGAAGAGGGGTTCGACAAGGCGATACAATATCGCCAAAACTATTCACTGCCACCCTACAAAACGTCATGCGAACATTAGAATGGGACGAAATGGGAGTGAAAATTGACGGTCGACAATTGAACCATCTTCGCTTTGCTGACGATATCGTTCTCATAACACCAAACATCAGCCAAGCGGAACGAATGTTGACTGATTTCGATAACGCCTGTGGAAAGATCGGTCTTCAACTGAATCTAACGAAAACAATGTTCATGAGGAACGGATGGGTTTCTAATGCCCCATTCACGCTCAACGGAACGACAATTTCCGAATGCTCCAGTTACATCTATCTAGGTCGTGAAATCAACATGATGAACGACCTAGCCCCAGAGTTGAGCAGGAGGAAACGAGCGGCTTGGGGAACGTTTAAGAGCATCGAAGATGTAGTGAAGAGGACAAAGAACATCCGACTCCGTGCCCACCTTTTCGACTCGACAATTGTCCCTGCCCTAACGTATGCAGCAGAAACCTGGTCACTACGTAAGCAGGATGAAAGATCACTTGCCGTTATCGAACTCGCAGTCGAAAGGTCGATGCTAGGAGTATCCTGCATCTCGCAAATGAGAGAAAGGATCCGAAGTTCCGACCTACGTCAACGATTGAAAATCAGAGACGCCGTTCTACACGTCAGGATATCGAAAATAAGGGGCCGGACACGTGATGCGCTTCAACGACAACCGATGGACGAGAGCCGTTACCGACTGGATTCCTCGGGACGTCAAGCGCTCTAAAGGAAGACCACTGACCCGTTGGTCCGATTTCTTCACGAAAGCGATGGAAGAAAGATATGATGCTCAGCGAATTCCTAGAGCAAGGAGGACCCACTGGGCTACTCTTGCACGCGATAGGGAAAAATGGAAGAGTTGCTGGTACCCGCTCGAGTCACTCGACGATCAACGGGACGACAGGTGATACAGGTGATGATAATTTTGATAATGTATGAGATGAGGAAATGCCATAAGTAATCGATCCATAATTTATATTTAATCTTAGGACCACGAAATGATAATGTGGTTTATTCGTTTCGAGTGTTTTCTTAGAACCACGCTCAAATCTCAACATATCTCGTCATTATTATTTGAGCCAACATGTCATGTGGTCTGTTACATGGGCTGACTTATAGAGCCCGACACACGTGTTTCGACCTTAACAGTCTCATCAGTCGAGCGGTACCCTTTCGTCTTTAGCCAATCCTCTCGGGGCTCTCAGCCCCCTACAGTAATAGTGGGCATGGACGAACATTTTGGACTGTAGGTCAGGTGAGATTTTTACCGAACACACAGTATTGTACACTTGATTGATCTTGGCTGGTATCCTCAGTATAACATGCTTTTCGTTTCAAGTGCTTCCTCAAGACTACGCTCAAATTTCAACATATCTCGTGATTATTATTTGAAGCACGTGTATCGGGCTCTATAAGTCAACGCATGTAGCAGACCACATGACATGTTGGCTCAAATAATAATAGCAGATGTAGTTGATTATTGACTATTTATTCATTTGCGACAGTGTATGAGGGTGAACAGGCGCTTTAGCGTAGAAAGAGCTATGTGCAAAATGGGCGTCAGTAGTGCAACGGATAGAGCACGCATTCCTGAAAAGGGTGAGGTGCAGGTTGTAGTCCCGGCTGACGCGAAAGTTTTGCACATTGCTCTACATCAATGGGTATATATTTGAAACATCATACCACCGCCATAAGCGGTTAAATTAAACGATTATCATTTGATTTTTAATACCTAATATCTGTCAGCGTGGCTGGGTTCAATGTCGAGACCGACTATCCGGGCCAGGCCGTTGACAGCTGGCGGCTGGCAGATAGGTGCGTTTTAGCGTAGAAAGAGCGATGTGCAAAATGGGCGTCAGTAGTGCAACGGATAGAGCACGCATTCCCGGAAAGACTGAGGCGCAAGTTCTAGTTTCGCCTGATGCGAAAGTTTTGCACATTGCTCTCCATCAATGAGGGTGAACAGTTGTTGACGTCATGATAAAAGATAAGCATGAATGAAATATGATTGAATATATGCAGAATAGCACGAAAATGTTCAGTAGAAGAAAATAACATCTCTTCTTGAGTACCTTGCCATTCCCTTGAAATCGAAGCCTTGGAAGGACGCATTGCCATTGCTCCTACTATGAATAGCTTTATCAAAGTCGCTCCTATAATTTTTTTTTACCATTTACTGGCAAAAAACGTCTCTTCAGCGACGTTGAAAATTCATATTTACTAGGAAACTATCACATCGTCATTCTAGCTCGCCGCGCAAGATTTCAACGTCGTTGTCAAGGAGTTATTATGTGAATTGATGAACGATTTTACGTAATGCCGCAGCACAGATGAGGTAGAGTAATTATTGATCAGAAAAGATAGGCGTTTTTCCTATTTCTTGATTTCATTTATTCACACGATTAAGGCATTGCTTCACCCCAACATTTGTTTTCTTTCAAAATCATAAGATTGGTGAAACTCTGCTAGATCTGTTGCTTTTTCAGCAGAAGTCCAGCACTAATTCTTTGCCACTAATTTGTCAGTGATGAATGATGGGCAAGAATTTGGATGGAGGTCGAGGGAATCGTTTACGAATAAGTTGTCCAGTCACGAAGGATATAACAAAACGTGCACACACATTATCATTGTGGGGAACATTCAAAAACACTCCTACAGATGACAGCATCATTGTTTGTTGGATTTGTAAAGCTGTTGAGTGAGCAGAAAAATGAAGCAGAAATCTTCCTGTAACGAAAGGGAAATAGGTCGTATATCATTCAATATGCCTCAAATAAAATTCTCACGACTTTTTAACCTCACTTTTTTGAAGATTGATAACTTTAGTAACCATAGCTATATTTTTCACGTTTCAACGCTGTAAAGCTTGGTTATCTGATTTCGAAAGTCAGAGTATGAAGGGACATTGCGTCACGAGCTATTGTCAAGTTTACCCCTTCTCCACCGACGATTCGAATCCCAGGCAATTAACATTCGTTCTGGCTTTCGCAAGCAACGACCACAAAAATTCCACCAGTGGGCTTTCATTGCTTTTCAATTTTATGATTTCTTTCTCTTGTCAGTCTCCATGTAGTCAAATATCCGAATCCAATAAAAATTCAGTTCATTCGAGAACAGTCATAAACATCTACATTTTCACTTTATCCGAAAGTAATGACAATTGTTACGTTAAGTTATCATCGATTTACTATTCAACGTTCGTTTTCAATATTTTTCATATTGAGCACATCTAATAATAATTTCAACCCTGTATTCTCAAGTCTTTTCACATTTAATGAAAACATAATGTACTAAAGAAGGAATGAGCCGAAGTTGTTCAAAGCATTAAAAACATCTTAATCTCTAATAAAGGCATAAAACTTGTTCAACTGTTTACGAATTTATAATATTCAGGAACATTTAAAGGACCATCTTAAGCTTTCATTGTTTCAATTGTGTTGTTGGTGAGAATTCTGTGCAGATTTAGTGAATAAATAAAAATAGAGACGTTTCTTTTCAATGAATCTTCAATTCTATATCAGAGATTTACAGCAACTATACACCGAAAAGTTTATCTTACCGCCTATGTAGCAGTGTTGTGAGGTTACAACTCTATCCCTCTAGGCACGGCGCCATTTTCTGCTGGTGGGCTGTTCGGACGACTACGAAAAATATGCTGGCGGAGCGCGCTTCGATACTAAGGTGGTAGTATTTTGATTGAATTCTTACATTTTTTCGTCAACAACATGGTATCTTTGGCAGTACATGGTCAAATATGACAGAAAAGCTTCATTACGGCTATTTTCAGCAGCAACAACGCTAATGCTTCCTTCTTAGCCTTCATATCCGAAGGAAAAAAAACCAGATATTCATAAAAGTTACTATTTTGAGGCTTATATTAAACATTTCTAGCTTTTTATTCACAATCATTCACATTTCGATCATATTCGTTGTTTTATTCTTATGTAAACAATAAATCGCTCTTATTTCGCCACAAATGATTAAATAATTGAAAAATCAACCAAATATCATCTACTATTACCACATAACACACGAAGTTCATCAAAGAAATTGAATTGTAGAAAACAATTACTAGTTTGTCAGAAACGGTATGTTCAGTGCATGTGATCTTACTTTATTGATAACTTTCAATTGTTTTCAATTTCTGGCATACTTTGCATGTTGCAGCCTGCGTTGGCTCATGGAGGAACTTTGTTCTATCGCTCTATGAACACATGAGCAGATTTATCGCAGCTTTTTTGGGACTGAACGAGAATTTCTACAAGCTCCACTTAAAGCCTCTTAGTCGAATATCACGGATATAGTTTTCTGTGCCTCATCCACTCCCCACATCTTAGTCAACTACAATAAAATCATCTTCGCCTAGTTGCAGCCTTCTATCAGTATAAGTCCACCTGGTCAGCCGTCTGTCCGCGTTGCATTTCATTCTCACCAAATTTCCTCATCAGTAATTCTTTTCTGTGTCGCACATGTCAATGTTTCGTTTCTGGGAAATTCATTGAGACCTACGAAATAATTAGTGAGCAATGTATAAATGCACAAATCTAACCAAGATCTACAAGGTGAAAAATGTTGATCGATGCTGATTTTTAGCGATTGACTGCTTCTGTTCCATGATGTTAGTACTAATGGTTCATTGGTGAGTGAATATATTGAGTGCGACGTTTATAATAACAACATTATTTGAAATATGGCTCAGCAATATGCCTTCTTTCACAACAGTTGGAAATACATTTTCTCAAGAATGCAGTTATCATATTTAGTAGGAAGGATTTCAAAGACAAACGTTAACTAGAACTACGTTTATAGATGTCCCTACACTGATAGGGTGCCAAACTCTTCGTAATGATGAGGTCTCCTAAAAACCAATATTTCACTCTAAAAGTGCAATGATATCGCTGCAAAAATTGAAAGGACCATCAGAATGCCGCGAAAGCATAATGTTAAAATGCTATCTTTTTTTTGCTTGTAGTACAAGTAGAAAATGTCCTTCTTAAAAGCCAGCGTGGTACTAGGATCTCCACTTCTCAAGCTTTCGAACGACTGCGGGTAGTTTAGTGAACAGCTCGCTTCTGGAAAATACCAATGATTTACGATCGCGATAGTTGAGAAGCACTTTATGCGACAGGAAATCTATTCAGAAGCAAAGATTTTCATGACAGTTGAGCGTCATTTATATTAAAAATACTCACTAAAGTCCTTTTAATGATAATCAGTTTTTTTAACGACAAGTTTATTATAAGTCAAAATCTAATTATGTCAAAACAAAAAAAAATGCGCTGTGATGTCGAAAAAATTAATATCAATTGTAAAACGTTATCTCTTTCTTATCAGCAACACGTACTATGGAAATCTTTCCACAGAAGAAGCTTAGTACTAAGATCAGAATTTTCAAGCCATTGATTGATTACAAAGTTATTAGCAATTAAGAAAAAATGTTCGATAACAGTTGGAAATATGTTCCTTTCCGTAAAGATGTGGTTTTTCCCCTGAAACATGCAAAGTTTTAGGAGGCATTGGCGTTGATTTCATTGAGAGTATTTATACAGGAGTGCTCTTAGGTACATTGCATTATTTCTTGGGGATAATATTTTTTCAATTTCTCAGACAATCCGAATTTGGATTGGCGCACGCATCAACCGCTCGAATGGGGTAGCCAGCCAAAGGTCAAAAGGACCATCAGCATCTGCAAAGGTATAAATCAAACGATGCAGGAGAAGTGCGAAAATTTTAAATTCTAGACAGGAATCTAAACCGGGTTTCAAACATGCAAGAATGCGCGCGTTATCACTCCATAACCGAGGTCATTGACCTAATCACACTTTCTGAGATATAAGTCTGCGAAATTGTCTGGTATAAGACCAAACCCACTGATTACGGCTTAGCGACGGATTCGACTGCCTATACCGTAGAAAGAGAGATAAGAGGTCAACGGCCGTGGTGAAGTAGTGGTAGAACGCGCTCTCGTCATTGGTAAAACGCGGTTAAGCTCTCGCCTGAGGTCCAGAGTTTTGCATGATCCTCAGGATTATTAGTTACACGGGTGGAAGAGAGACTCTGCTAATTTTTTCAGGTATTCTGACGATGAAAAAATGTTGCATAAACATTTAAATTCATTCATTGTTGCTGAGCTAGGTCTCAAAATAGTCGACTGAAAAATTCGTTAAGTTGAAGAAGTGGTTTTGTATATTAGATCAGCAACTATAACAATAAGCAAAAAGTTTATAACAATTTCTCGAAACTGCCTCATTTGGTCTCTGTACATCTACGAACGTTTGCGATAATTTCTAATAATGCTCGCAAGCGTAATATCGCCCCAGTCGCGTGTCAGAGCTGTTTTAAGTGCGTCTACGCAAGTATAGCGAGCAGCCGAGACTTTTTGATCCAGTATAGACCGCACGAAGTAATCCATGGAATGAGATCCGGAGCGTATGAAAGTCAAATGTCCTTGCCACAAAAACCTGGGAACAGCTCTTGTCAGATTGCAATTACTGCCCTGCTAAAGAGTAAATCCGTCACTGCCAAAATGTTAAGTAGTGCAAAGCTCCAATACGCCTCGTGAAACTTGCTGATCATAGCTGGCAGCTTTGATTTTGGCGTTTCCGTTGACGAAAATCAACGGCGCTTTTTCGGTGGCAGAAATGCCGGCAGAGACCACTACAGAGGTCTTAAAATGACTGCAGCCCATGGTCTTTGCGACAGCGGACTTCTGCTGACTCTTCTTCAAAAGTTGACGTCGATTCCGGCGTTTGTAGATGTTCGGTCGTGAATGTCTTCTCATCCTTAGAAAATGTCTTCAACAGATGTGCACCAACCTCATACAAAATATTCAGCGAGCCCTAATGGTCGTTTTTCTTTCATCTTTTTGTCCAGAAAGTGAACAAGAGCGATTTTGTGATTGCACAACTTCAGCCTATTTTGACAAT